CAACAGAAAAGTTGAATGTGTTAACAAATGTTTGTTTTTGGTTTGTAAATTTTTCTTATGCTTCTTGCTCTTCCTGTTATCGCTCAGTTCTTCGTCTTTTTTCCTGTTTGTTTTATTTCATTTTTAAATGACAAATTTTTGTTAACACTTTCTGGATTATTTTTTATTCAGTCACTTCATATATACATGTTGTTGCTTTTTTTTAATTTTCTCAATTTTTTGACTCGTTTTGCTGAAATAATAAAATTAAATTAATCAGTTAAATATATTTGTTAATACATCTTAATAAAACAAGCAACGAATGTTATCAGCATCACTATGGTCATCAATGTTTTGTTCATATGGCTTGCATCCACATCGGCCAGTTTTCTTTCTTTCTTTCCGAAAATGTTCGTATTATGTTTTTGTTTATTTTCATTCGTTAGCATTGTTACTTATGTATTCGGTGTTAGATATGCTAGGAGGAAGTGTTGACATATTTTGTTAGAGCTTCACATTTTTAAACATTGCATATACATACATGTACAAGTTGTCGAATGTTATGAATGACTAGAAGAAAACGTTTCAAAAAACAAAAGTCAATGTTATTAATTCATTAGACTGTATTGTATGCGTAATGAGTTGTGGCTTAAAACATTAGCCATTCAATCAAGTAAGTAATAACTAACTCTCCTCTGTGTTATTTAAAAATCTAAAGAAACCTGCCAACCAAAAAGTATTAATAGGTAGGTAAGGTATCAAATGTGCGATTGCATTGATATCTAACCGTTCAAACATATGATGAAGCATACATAAAGAAATTATTTAGAATGTTCATTTTTGAGGTGATTGGAAAACTTGGATAATTACTAAAATAATTTACAACAAAATAATTTCATAATACAAACATGTTGATAATCCAAAATTTAACAGTTTTAACGCAAAAAATTTTGTAGTTTTCACATAACGTCTCATGTTTCAAGACACGTTGACTGATTTTGTATGCAGTTGAAAGTAAAATGGAAGATTTTCAGATTGTTGAAGATTTTGAATTTTAATTTAAGAGCAGATTTTAGAGTGAAGGTATAAATTCATAATTTTTTGGTTGGTGAAATCATGTTTTATTAGTTTTATTACAAGTTTTACTTTTCAGAGAATAATTTTGTTTCCAAATATTAATTCTTTATTTTCTAAGGGTATAATAGTTATTTAATAAATTGAACTGATTAAATTTGGTGAAGATAGCTGAATTAATTTGCGTCATGGTTGTATACATTATTGTATTCATTATACATGATGTGCCTTTCTGGTGTCTGAAAGTGTCTATGTTGCTTTTGGGACATGTTTTTAGAGACAAATTCAAGACGTAACATCTTAGGTCTAGAGCATGGATATATATAATGGTCTAGAGTCCCTCATTTGAAGATCTATACAATTTATGTTCAAAACTTCGTGGCAGCTGAGCTTAAATTGTCGAGCGTCACTAATAGAGAGTTAATTTAAGCTTTGAATTATAGGTGGTTTTAACTTTTAAGATTTAATATAAATAAATAAATTATATGTGGGATTTAGGCAGGTTTCCAATACTTTAAGATTTTAAATATAGTGTGGCTGCATTCTAAAATGTTAATTTAGTAACTAATTAATTCACTAAGTTTGTTTCTCTTACAGTGACAATGATAAAATTAATGCTTATACAGGTAGACAATTTCATTTTTTGACCGATTATATAATTTTTTCAAAATACTTTTGGGCATTCCATAATAATTTGCCTATTTACCGCGTGGTCTTGGTTCTTACAGAAGCTTCATATGAAAAAAGTTCACCCCTTGTGCCTTCTGCTAGCTTGTACTCATACGTTGTTGTGATTGTCTGGTGTCGCTGTCGTCTCGCAATGGTGAAAGTTGCCGTGGTAAGTCTCCACACCAATTAATCATTTATTTGTGCAAGTTTGCTTTTTTATTATTAGAGCATTTAACAAATCAAAAGATGTGTTTTTTAGTTAGGTTTTTATTTTTAATTTTAAAAGACTTAGTTTTGTTCATGACATCTTCTGTTGCTTTGCAAGTAGGATGGTAGATAGACAGGATATGCTGATGATAAGCATTTGCCATTTATATTTTATTTTCTTTCATAAGATTAGATTGGTGCTAATTTGAATGTTGTATGACAACTTGTTTATCAAATCATTGATTGCATCTGCATTGAATCTAATCTAATCCTAATATTAATAAAAAATCAAACTCTGTAGGTTTGTGTACTCATACTGGTAAAATCTGAGTGAAGCAGTTAAAATTTATTTTATTTTTATATCTTTTATATAATTTTAGTTATAAATTTTTAAAGAATCTAACTGCAAACTTTTTTTATTTACTTCAATTAATTTCTGTAAGACTTAGAGAGGTAAAATAGACATAGATAGAAAGATTAACCAACCCATATAACCTCAGTCTGTTACATTGTTTTCAATTGTTATATTACAAAAGTTATTTTGAATTGTGTTTGATTCACTTCTATCTAGGTAACAGGTTCAAACAAAGGAATTGGATTTGCAATTGTTAGAAGTCTCTGCAAAAAGTTTGATGGTCACGTCTACTTAACAGGTTATTGACTGTTGAATGTAGACCAGAAATTTTTATTTTATTCTATCATCATAAAGATTTAAAAAATTTTTGTGCAACTGATCAAACTTTGTTTTTTTCAGCAAGAGATGTAGGAAGAGGTGAGAATGCAGTGAAAGAACTGGAGAAGGAAGGTTTGCATCCACATTTTCACCAGTTGGATATTGAGGACACCAAGAGCATCACAGCATTGAAAGACTATTTGGTGGAAAAGTATGGAGGCCTGGATCTGCTGGTCAACAATGCTGGGATTGCTTATAAAGTACTGTGATCACAAAATTATGTATATTTGTTTAATTGTTGGTCATATCATATTTAGATTTTTAATTACTTGCCCTTTTTCAAAATGAAAGTTATTTTGCCAGACTTTTTAAATAATTTTTTTGTTTATTTTAATTTTCAGTTGAAGAGTAGTTTTATTAGAATGGATAAAAAAGGTTTTAATAATAAATTTAAAAGGAATTTTAAATTTAATTTAAGGTTAACTCAACAGCCCCATTCTCAGAGCAGGCAGAGGTGACACTAAAATGTAATTTTTGGGGCTTGTTGGATGTCTGCAAAATATTGTTTCCTGTACTTAATTCTCATGCCAGGTTACACTTTATTCCATCCAATGATGGCTTGAAATTTTGAAATATTTTGACATGACATTTTTGTTCATCCCAATGTTGTGTGCATGCATTTGCTAGCTGCTTGGTTTGTGACTCATATTTAATTAATCTACATTTGTTATCCCACAGAGTTGTGCATGTATCGAGCATGTCAAGTTTCATGGCCCTGGCTAGGTGTTCCCCACAAAAGAGAAGTCAGTTGTTGAACTGTCAATCAATTGAGGACGTTTGTCAGCAGATGAGTTTGTTTGTCAGGTCTCTTGTTCTTTTTCTTAGCCTAGATTGAAGTTGTTCATTAATAAATTTTAATACTTTTCAAGCCTAGATTGAAGTTGTTCATTAATAAATTTTAATACCTTTCAATCAAGATTTTCTTTTTACTAATTTTTTGGTAAAAAGCACCATAACATATAACAAAGAGAGCATTTTTTATTCAAGACTTTTATGATTTTGAAATCTCAGATAAACTAATGACAGTATAGCAAGTAACAATTTACTACAAAAGCTTATCTTTAAATAAATTGGTCAGCATTGAATAAATATCTACCAGTGAAGTGAAGTCTGGAGTGCATCAAACACAAGGTTGGCCTGATATGGCTTATGGCACCAGCAAGATTGGAGTCACTCTCCTCACTCCACTCCAACAGAAAGTTTTTGATAAAGATGAAACCAAAAAAGATATAGTTGTCAATTGTGTTAGTTTAATGCTTTGTCTATTTAATTGTCTTCTTTCAAATTCAAGTCAAATGAAATATTTGTCTACATGATATGCGTTATTTATAAAAATTATTAATCGCAGCCTATTTTTTAAAATTAATCTTTCATCCACTGTGATGCTGTCCTGTTAATTATTATGTTTGGTGTTTCAGTGCTGTCCTGGTTATGTGAGCACAGATATGAGCAGCCACAAAGGCACGAAGACGATTGATGAAGGTTACATTAATGATTCCACATTTCATTTTGTATTTAATCTTTGTTCGAGGGTTGTACACGTATTATGCAAAATACGAAAGCAGATACATGCAACTTGATGTTTACAAAGTAGTTTTATGTAATAAATGACTACATGAATTCTATTACACTAAACCAGTTTACTTTGTTATTGGTTTGAAACGCGAGTGTTTGTGTGTAACTTGAATATAAGTGGTTAAATTGTTTTTTTATTTAAATAAATTTTCCCATGAACAAAGAACAAACACGCCAATATGGTTAAGACTTGATGAACAAATAAACGTGATGGCAGGTGCCGTAACGCCAGTGTACCTCTCACTCCTACCGCATGATGTTCAATCTCCACGTGGAAACTTCCTCAGTGATTGTGACATCAAACTCGTCAATGAAGAGAATATTGCTAACTTCAGGAATCTTTTCAACATTAAATAATGGAGGAATTTTAACTTGATTAATTAACTTTTCCAATTTTATTGTATGAATTAATGCGAAAGTTTCGCTCATAGTTTTTTTTTTAATTTGGATGTTTGTCAAATTATAATTTAATTCACTCCAACATATTGTGAATTAATTATTATAATTCTGGTATTTTGTTACAAAACATGGCTTATTTTATATGTTTCATCTAGCTTAAATTTCCTTCTGTAACGAAATAATAATTATTCACGTCTAAATATCGCTTAATTAAGTCGCGGTAATGTTTCACTATACATTTACAGTATGTCACCATGGATATATGGATGGATATATACATAGATGGATACATGTATACGTGCAAACTTACTGAAAACACTTAACCTAAACTAGATTCGGTGGGCTTATGGTTATTCCCAGTTGTTTTAGTTCGTCTGGACTGGATGTCATAGCGAATAATTAAAATTCATCGGTCACCCACTTGGAAAGTTGCAAAATCGTATTTCCTTTACACAGTATAATAAATGAATGAATGAATAAATATAACTGTTGGTGTTATATAGTGTAAGCGAATCAATTTAATACTGAAATAAAGTCAACGACGGGAGGTAGATAACGTGATGGGATTACGATTACTGTATTTGGGAGGGTGGGTGCCTTATTTTTCTAGAATGATAAATGTTTAATTTAGAATTTCTGAAAATATCAACTAACCTATGGAACTTTATGTTATTTAATGACTGCACTTAAATCATATATGATAAAAATAGATCATATAACAAAACACCAAGTACAACCATACGTATAGAGATAAATTGAATAAAATACCAGATACCGTATACATTAATCTACATAATGGTATGTTCTAAGTTTTCTATTGATTATAATTGGTATATTCTTTATATATGATTCTAAATATATAGCTAGAATTATGTAAATTAAATATGCCGTTCTTCAGGTTTCTTTGGCTGTTATATAACTTGGGCAGGTTTGCACCTTTAAACGTTGCACCTGCTCCGATCTCCCTTGGTGATCGTTTTTTAAATTTTTACGATTTGAAAAAAAGTGACTTACCCGTCTCGTCTCTTCTGATCGTCTGCAAACTCTGTCATCGCAATAATGGTGAAAGTTGCTGTGGTGAGAATTTTAGCTATATTTATTTATATATATTATAATTTTATACTATAATTATTGATTGATAATGACTTGAGATTGAAAAACTACTGCAAGTTCAATTTCTCCCTGTGACTGTAGCAGTGAAGGATTAGAGGAAAAATCAGCTGAAATCTATCTACCTGCTTACCTGCATACTTTCATTTCATACATACCTGCCTAGTGCCTAGTCATCATATTTTTATTTTTTAGAAGATGAATTTTAGAAAAAAGTTGCTTTTAAAATTAATCAAATTAAATTAAATAACAAATTCAACTGATATTGAATATTAAATTGTTTGCAAAAAATAAAATAACTAAATTAAATTGGGTCATTTGAATATTATGTTGTATGTATGTTTTATGATGACTTACAGTCTTACAATTACAAGACTTTAAATTAGTAAAAAAAAGTTAAGATAAAATTAAATATTAAAGAAAAAGATTTCATTTTTTGTGATAAAAATACCATTGGTAAAAATTATCATTTATTATTATTTATTACTTCTTACTGTGAGCTCTGAGAGTTTTATTAAAGGGGAAGTTAAAGATGAAAATTGTGTTGAAAAAAATTATTAACATTTTTTCTAATTTCAAATAAAAGGTCACTGGATCCAACAAGGGAATTGGGTTTGCAATTGTTAGAAGCCTGTGCAAACAATTTGATGGTCATGTCTACTTAACAGGTTGGTAACTCTTAGTATTAAAAATTTTGAAAATGCACAAAATTGCATGCACAAAATTGTAATAATTACTTATTAAATTAATAATGTTTTTTATATTTAACATTGTATCATTTATTTATATTGTTTTAAAAATTTAGTTAGAGTTTTTAACTATTTTTCTAAGTTTAATTTAATTTGACAATAGTGACATTTTTATTCAAAAAATGTTTTCAGCAAGAGATGTAGGAAGAGGTGAGAATGCAGTGAAAGAGTTGGAAAAGGAAGGTTTGCATCCACATTTTCACCAGTTGGATGTTGAGGATAAAAAGAGCATCACAGCATTGAAAGACTATTTGGTGGAAAAGTATGGAGGCCTGGATCTGCTGGTCAACAATGCTGGAATTGCTTATAAAGTAATGAAATTTTTTAAATTTATAGCTACCAGTACACGTCATATACAAATTATAAATTTAGTTTAGTTGAGTTGCTTAAAATCAGCAAATAAGTAATCTTTCTTGCTAGAATAATGTTTTTAATTATTTTTAAGTACTTTCTCATAAACTACATATTTATAAGTACTTTCTCATAAACTACATATTACGAAATTTATTACATAAAACTGTTTAAACATATGTTTTCAAGACAGATTCAACTGCTCCATTCTCAGAGCAAGCAGAGGTAACATTGAAGTGCAACTATTGGGGCTTGTTGGACGTCTGCAAAATATTGTTCCCCATTCTCAAGCCACATGCTAGGTTGCTGGAAGATCTCTCTAGAATTTTTCTTGTTTGATGATCTATGTTTTAAAATCCATGTTCTAGAGTGTGTTTTTTAGTAAATTCAATTAGTGATTTTAACATTGACATCAATTGAGATTAGTAGCAGTTTTTTGCTGATCTGTTACTGGTATAGTAGATATATCATAATATTATTTTTTTATTCAATAAATTATTTTTTATTTTTTGTAAACTTTTGTGGCCAAATGTATCTTGCAGAGTTGTGCATTTGTCAAGTTCACTGAGTTTCATGTCCCTGGCCAAATGTTCAGCAGCTAAAAGGAGTCAGTTGTTTAGTTGTCAGTCGGTTGATGAATTATCTCATCAGATGAATCTCTTTGTTAGGTCTTTTTAAAATTTATTTTTTATTTTAATAAATAGGTATTTGATGATGGTTCAAAAGAATTTAGATGACTGTTTTAAATTTTATCAGACTTCATCAAAGACCTAATTTGGGATAATATTGACATGTATTCTCGCTTAAAATTTTGTACACGTGCACTGTGCAGTGATGTAAAGGCTGGAGTGCATCAAGCTCAAGGTTGGCCAGACATGGCTTACGGGGTCAGCAAGGCTGGAGTTACTCTTCTCACTCCTATCCAGCAAAACACTTTTGATAAGGAAGAACCTGGCAAAGATATTGTTGTCAACAGTGTGAGTTGTTGTCATTGTTGTTCAACCAATTTGCATAATCTAACTTTATACATTATTCGATATAAAGTCAAATTGCATTGTTTTTTAGTCCTTGATACTCAACATTAATCAATGTTCCTGTTTGAAATTTTTCAGTGCTGTCCAGGTTATGTTGCCACAGATATGAGTAGTCACATGGGATTCAAGACTATTGATCAAGGTCAGTTTCATTGGTTATCACAACTTCTTTTTTATTTAGATTAGAATTTTGTATACAATATGTTGGCAATATGTAATGATTCAGTAAGGCCTGTGATTGTTATAAGTCCAGAATTATTGGTAATTTATAAATTTAAATTCATTTATTTGAATAAACATTTATGAGCAGAAACAGTGGATGTAAAAAATTTTATGTATCTGAGCATATTACACAATCTAAAAAATGCTAGAGAATTTAGTGTAAATTTGTATGTAAGTACAGTAGATACACTAAATTAATAGTCACAAAAAAAATATTTAGCCATATTTAATTTCGTGTACACATTCAGACTTTAATAACATCTAGTTGCATAGTTATACAATCGCGGGGTGGCTTTTTTAATTAGCGTCTGTTAATGTGTTGTACTAGGAATAGCAAATATCTAGGACATCGGTCTTGCTTAATTTCATTTTACTTGCCTCGTCGGCAGATGTTTACCACGTCTGCTTGAAACTTCTTAAAACAGACTAAACCTTATTTTTCTTAATTTAATTTTATTATTTGAGTCGATCTTCAGTTCTTTATTTCAGCTTTTTTTTATATTATTTTATCCACGTTAATATTACGACTAATAGCTATCACCAGATTTTGAATGCTAACTTATTCTGTGAGTTTTAAAAGAAATGTTCATATATATTTTGATTGTTAATGAATATATAAAATTGATAATCACAGGTGCTGTGACACCGGTATATCTAGCACTCTTGCCTCCTAATGTTGAATCTCCGCGTGGAGAATTCCTCAGTGAGTGCCAAGTGAAGGCTTTGAATGAAGAAAATGTCATTAACTACAAGACTGTCCTTGACCTCGACATGTAACTTGGAAGGCAACTTTGAATCTCTAGAAATTCAAATGATTACCGACCAGCAAATTAAAACGATAACTTTTTGCATTTTTACACAATAGTTTTTCCATATTTTACACATTTCGTAGTTTTCTTTAATGTTTTTATAATGAATTAATTGGATATTGTTTTTTGACATTTATTAGTTGAATAATAAATTAGTCTAGAGAACTTCACATATCATTTTTCAATGGTTTACACAATTAATTATTACATATCATCCTCGAATTCATTAGGTGCTCATCTAAGTTGGTCGTTCTTGCTTTTTGTTTTTTCTTTCTCGGGACCTTATCTCCGCAGTTCTCTTCCGACTTCGGCTACATCGCAATCTCTTTCAAGTTTCACCACGCGTCTCAAAACGCCTCTATTAAAATTAAATTAACTAAGCAACGTAGACATCGCTATTGAAATGATCGCTATTGATTGATAGATTGAAAGTGAAGATTTTGACATTTCCCTAATTGAAAAACAATACGGTTTAGATCTAACATGTATGTATGACGTACAATGGTTCAACTTGTAATAACGCGAATATGGACTAATAATCTCGTTCGACCTTGACTGTGACGTTATTTTTTTTTTACACAAAAGCGGTTTAGTTTTTAATCGTCTTGAAAGCTTTTATTCTAAGTAAATGTAATAGTTTAAGTACTAGTCGATTTTTTCAAAGCTTGAACAAAGTTTGCTATAAAGTCGAATAATAATAATTAGGGAAAGAATAATTTATAATAGCAAGACAAACAAATCATCAAAGCTGCTCGTTGCAAAGCTTGCAACAAAAAACAAACAAGTGATCAAATTCATCACAATCCTTATCTGTTTTCTATTTAAATGTTTCTCAATGGGAGATAGAATAACAAATAAATTAAAATCTACTCGTTCAACAATCTCACACATTTTTAGAAACCTATTAAAAAAGCAGAAGATCTTACAACAGAAAATAAAGTATTGATATTAAATTTAAAAAAGTATAGATTTAATTACGTTTTTAAAAATAGATGAATGAAACAAATGAATGTTTCTATGAATAAAACGAATGAATATTTATTCATTTTTACGTAGGATAAATAAAAAATTTCAATAAATAAAGGGTTTCGATGACTGGATTCGGAGAAGGAAGCACTCACCGAATTTGACTCAACAAAACATGGGCAATATCTGACATCATTATTCACCGTCGAAGGAAGTACGGGGCACGCAAGCAAACTTGTCTTGATTCTCTGGTCTCCTGTTTTTAAAGCCATGTTTGAGAATAATTTTATGGAAAAAGATGCCAAGGAGATAACCTTGCCTGGAAAAACATTTGAAGATTTTGTGGAACTGATGCGAATTTTGCATCCTCCCAACAATGACCTAAGCGAGTTAAGCGGTGGTAGTTTTATTCCCTTTTCATTTTATTACAACTTAATTTTCTTTCATTTGGTGATAAGTTTTATACTTTTGATCTTTACCGTTTGGCTGAAAGCAGTATGAAAGAATCAGACGAAAATCTTACGAAAAAAGTAAACTTTCTAAGACCAAACAAAAAATTGTTTTCAGAAAAACACTTAGCCCGGCAGCTTGCACTGTTTCAAGAATATCAAATTGACAGTTTAAAAGAAAAAGCAGAAGAAATCCTCTGCAACCAGCCATCTTCAGTTAAAAATTACTTAATTGCTCAAAAGTTCAACCTCATAAAACTAAGTGAATCTAACCTTCAGTATTTAAAACGAGCTCCAATATCTAGACTAAAAACTCAGGTAATTTATTCTTACAAAATTTGCGTTTGTAAATATAAATGTTAGTGTTAATGCAATTTTTCAGCCAGAGTTTGAACAGTTAGATCAGGCATTTCTGAACAGTTTATTAATGGAAAAACTGGAAAAATTTGAAAACCATATTGAAAACTTGAGGGAGGTAAGAATGGTTCTTGAAAGAAAGAAGCCCACCACGTTTCCAGGCATGCATCTGTTGTGTGAACCATGCACTGGCGCCAGAGACCAACAAGTTGACTGTCAGAATTGTATGAAAAATTGTTGCCACAAACTCACGAACATTCTCAGGAACATGGAAGCATAATTAATCATTATATTATCTAACCTCTTCATTTGACGGGAATTAGTAATTAAATCATCATTCAAAAACATTAGCATCATTATTTATGGAGTGCCTATTTTTTGCCTATGTAAAATTGTTGATTAGAATGCAAGCGTATATATATTAATGTAGACATTATAGTTTGGTTTTATAAAATATTTTAAACTTTTTATTTTCAAAGACTTTCGACACAAGAGAAACTGTTTCAAATGAATAAAAACAAAGATAATAACAAAAAATTTACAAACACAAAGTGTATTAAGGTACAATGGAAAAATTATTAGTCTGTGAAACACAGTTAAATATAGAGGGAGCCGTCAGCTGGAGTTAAGTAACCGGAAGCAATCAGTAGAATATCAATTAACGTCCAGACACCCACACCTCCAAAACTGAAAAGTTTACCCAGACCTTCCTTCCAGAGACCCAAGTAGAACCGATCTATGCCCAATCCTCCCAGAGTTATGCTGTTTGAATGGTGTAATGTGAATTATTATATACTGAAATAATTATTATCCATTAAAATAATGTTAATTTAAAATCTTAGACAAACTAAAATCAATAACAAATGTCAGCTGTCATAATGGTGCAATGTGAATTATTATTTATCGAAATAATTATTGTCCATTAAAATGATGTCAATTTAGAATCTAAGATGAATTAAAACCAACAAAATATGTATATGTGAGAGTGCGTGTGTGTTTGCAACAACGACAACATTTACGTGTTAGAGCAATCCTCTCTGTTGTGTAAAATGTTCTATTCATACTCTATTACTACACAAATATATCATACAACCAAGAGTGTATACCACAACCAAGCAGTATATAAAATTTTGTACACTAACACACTAGCTAGATGCATGTATGGCTAATGTAATGTAATGTATTAAATCCAGGATGAATTCTAACAAAAGTAGTGTGCTATAGTTAGTTGCGTTAGGAAGGGTACTGCCGTCCTCAGAGCTGTGTGACTGAATATACATTTATGATGAACATTTTAGTAAGACAATGGAAAGAACTAGAGCAACCTAAGAATGAAGGCAGTCCTCCACCTTCTCCCCGATGTCCAGTTGCAGTCCCTCATCTTCAAGAACTTTCTTCGACCTGTTTCAGTGAAAAAAAAACTTATTAATTTATTATTTAATTAATTAATAGTTATTTATAAATTTATTAACAATAATAACAGAGTACATTGAGAGTTTTCAATATATGAGAATAACAGTTAATGAAAAAAAATAAACTTTTTACAAATATGTAAGAGTTATTTCACATATTACATAAAATTAGCTAAATAAATAGCAAGGTAAATAAATAACCAATGCAGAAAATATTCTTGTCAACTGTACAGTTGGCTTGGTATCGTTGTTTAGGAAATGTATTAACCCTACATGCTGTTGAAACTGTGCAATTGTGGTATTTGGCAGGAGTCTGATAGCAGAACAAACATTTATAAGTTTTGGAAAAATTCCTCCGCCCCTAAAACATTTTCAAAATTGACACTTTTAATAAAATAATAATTTAAACGGTCATAAATTGAAAATAAAGTCTAAAAAATACATAAATAATTTCTTTTAAAAAGTAGAAATAAAGAAGAGTTGACTAAGCTAACCATGCATATAACGTTATCTTTAGGCCGGCAAACTACCTCAACATCTTTGCCATAAGTGCAGAAATGGTTGTACTGGCAGGCCAGGCAAGAAGCAGGTAACTCATCACAGAACTGACCCATCAAACATTCATCTGATACCTCTTCATCTCTACTGATCGATGAATTATTGAAACTAAACAAACTATCCTGCGTCGTCGGGAATGAATTTGGGATTATGTATGTGAAGTTTTCTTTATCTTTCAAGAATGATTGGTTTGTTAAATAGCTGATTTCTTGGAATTTTTCTACAGCTAATATAACTATGAAAAAAATTAAGATCATTTGATAGATATGGACAATGGAAGAATTGAAATGAAAAATAAAGAAAAATTAATAAATTTTTTATTTAATTCAATAAAATTAAAAAAAAACTTAATAATTTAATTAATTTTACTTAATTAGATTATTGATTATCTTTCTCTATCTGATTCAATTTTAATCAAATAACTCAGATAATATAATTAATAATTTAAATTAAAACTAAATAATCATTTTGTATTTATTTTTAATTTTTTATATGTTTAAACTTTAAATAAAGTTTAAAATAAAATTTTAAAAGTTTAAAAATCTGTTTGACAGGACTAATCAAATTTGCAATATTTATTATTTTGTATTATATAAAAATTAATTCAAAATCAATTTAACAAAGTGCTAAAAGTTAAATTAATAAATTATTAAAATTAATTTTTAATTTAAATAAATAAAAAAATGAAAAAAAAACTTCTTTTACTAACTGAAGAATTGTATGACCAGAATATAGAAAAACTTTAGAGAGAGGTTATTAATTAAAATATTTTTACAAAATAAAACACAAAAAACAATCATATTTATTCAATTTTTACATTAAAAATAACGTCAAATGATAGACATTTTCACTTATTATTAATGAAAAGTAGGCAACCGATGTTGTAGCTTTTTTATCGCTCAGCATAGAAACGACAACCCGCGAACTATATTTTTGAGATTTAATAATAATTTATTCACTTGAATATCCAGTGCAACGTGGAACGTAATACAGGTCAATTTAATGGAAAAAGCGGTTATTTATCAGTACAAAACTGCCTTTTATAAACTCGATTACACTATTGTCAAATTTAAATTTTTATGATTTCATTATTTTTTTTACAAAAACGGTTTATCCTGTTATTTTATGTTGATCTTTATTTTTATTAATGATAATGGTTAATTATTAATTATTATAAATTTAATTAAAAAATGAACCAGGATTTTTAATTTTCAACAATTCAAAAATACAGGTCAATCAACCTACTGAAACATTTCTCCATTTCTTATTTAGAAGAGCTAATTAAACCCAAATTCACTGGCAAACAAACCTATTTGCTTATAACAAAACATGGTAGTTGCTATATAAATATGTAATTGCGCGCGAAAACACACACAAACAAACAAACGAACAAATATATATATATATATATATATATATAAATATATATATATATATATATATAGGCTAATAGAATAAGTGTAATGAGTCATAAAATTGCGTTAAATGTGTCATCAATTGTCGTTAATAAAAGTCGTTTGAGTTGAATGTAAATGCAAATACATCTTAAACCTTACTTAAAAAAAGTGGTTTTGAAGGTTAAAATGTTTGCCTTCCAGTGTTAAATAAAATACACTGCATGGGTTTGCGTGTGTTTTGTATATAATTGTGGGGATATATGAGACATATATGGGGGGTTAAAGTGAAGGATAGGAGGAGTAGTACAGAGCTGATGTCAATGATGGGACTGAATGAGGACATTGTGACATTGATAAGGAGATCGAGATTGCGGTGGTATGGACATGTGTTGAGAAGGGATGAAAGGGTCGGGATTAGGCGAGCGTTGGAGTTCGAGGTTGAAGGAGTGGTAGGAAGGGGTCGTCCGCGATTGGGATGGAGAGAGCAGGTGGAGAAGGACAGGGTGAAAGCGGGGTTGCGTGATACTGAGGCGAGTGACAGATGTGGATGGAGTCGAGGGGTATTTCGGTTTCATCATAGGTAGCCAAACGGCAACCCCCGATCTCGTCTAAACGTGTGTGTGTGTGTGTGTGTGTGGATATATGAGACATTATAGACGTTCGTTTGTTAAGAGTTAAAGACAGTTTGTTTAATATATAAAAACCATGGAAAACATATGGCAGTTTTCATTATATTTTAGATGAATTGATACAAAAGTGCATGTCTCCAGCTCCACACCATTGAAAAAGATAAAAGGCATACACGAAGAATTAACAGAATGACCAAATGAACAAATAAATGAAAAAAAGAAAGAAATTGATGTAGACAACACACAAATTAGCCTAACGAAATTAAGAAAATATTCATTTTTGGGTAAAGTAGTCCGGATGACCGTTAACTAAAAATTATTTATGTATAAACGAACAAACATACATGTACCAGGGGCGTCATTTCAGATTTTGGTTGGGGGGCGAACTTATGTGGTCTATGACTTAGCATGTAACATATATATATATATATATATATATATATATATATATATATATATATATATATATATATATATAATATATATATATATATATGTTGGTAATAGACCATAATTTATACAATATTCTATAAATTCTACCGAACGTTTGGCGTTAATATGTTTGTAGTTTTTTTTCGATTTTGCTCGAGGATCGCGAGCAGCGAATGCTCCATCTCTCTCGAGAATTAGAAGTTAAAAAGAAGGTAGTTCAAGACTTGTCGAATCAACTAACTGAATTGTTGAATCAATGGGATAAAATCGAAAAAACGAACTACAAACATATTAACGCCAAACATTCGGTAGAATTTATAGAATATATATATATATATATATATGTGTGTGTGTGTGTGTGTGTGTGTGTGTGTGTGTGTGTGTGTGTGTGTTGGTAATAGTCCATAATTTTTACAATATTCTATAAATTCTACCGAATGTTTGGCGTTAATATGTTTGTAGTTCGTTTATTCGATTTTTCTCATTAAAGTTTTTTGGTGAACGTTTAGTTTATTAAAATTCAAAATATACTTATTTTTCGAATTCATGCTGCAAATAAGGCCATATTTCGATTCCGAATGAATCATCATCAGTGCTCCTTGTTGTATATATAGGGAAGATGAACTTTGACGTTGTAAAAATTAACTTTGGTGTTGTAAAATTGAACTTTGATGCGAATTAGGTGTCAATAAAGAAATAAAGAAACCTGACACCTAATTCACATCAAAGTTTATTTATATATATATATATTGTAAATATATATTATATATATATATATATATATATATAATATATATATATTGTAAATAAATATATATATATATACATATACATATATTATTAATAAAGATCACGGCGTTTCTTACAGTACTCAACATATATAATAGTTTCTAGATTCTTCGAATAATTCTCCGATCTACCAAGCTTAACTTGTTAATGCTATTAACAAAATTCCTATTTACAGAAGATGTCATTATCTACATGTATGCATATAGTACTATTTCGACTACCTAGTCTCGTCAGTGCAACATTATAATAAATTTTACATTTTTAAAGTTTTTAAAATTTCAAAATTTTTAAAGTTTTAAAATTAATAAATTATATATCCTATATATATACCCTTTTTACAAAGAATTTAAAATTAACACTTCATTTCCAGCTGACATCTTTCTACAATATAATCTAAACTTTTTATAAAATTTATTACAATATCCAGAAAAAATAGTTATTGTTATTTGACTTACCAACATGATGATTTGAAATATTTTTTATATCATTGATAATTAATTTAATTTAATCATTAATTATTGATTAGTAGTTTGATCAAATTTATTAACGATACTGAAACAATTTGTGTTCAAACTCACCTTCACTCTTTATCTTAAAAATTGATATAAATTGACTTCCAGCTAAATCAAAATAACATTAATAACAGCGAACGCGACAGTTAATATGGCGACAACACAACGGTTTTTTTTAAAACAGAACATGAATTATTGTAGGAACAAATGAAATAAATTGTATAGCGCTTGACATTTAAAAATTCAACAAGCACAATATTTTGTATATATAATTATAATAAATTATATAATTTTATATAATTATTTTATAGTGTTTGCAATTTAGAATTTTGATTTTTTTGGGGGGGCATGCTTCCCCCAAATGACGCCTCTGACATGTACGTTTATTTATTCTTTGGTATGCCCCAAACTAAATGTATAAAATTTACGAATAAGGCAGACGAAATTTTATAGAAAAAAATAAATGTTCGTATATGACAAGAAAAAATACAATCGGACGAATAAATAAATAAATAATACAATATATATATATATATATATATATATATATATATATATATATATATATATAGAGTAATTGTTATACATATTTATATATGCATAAATAGTTATGCATATATATATAAATACATATATAAAATATATATACATATGTCAAGCCTAAATAGCAGACAATGAATGCAATGCGTAGAGAAGATGAAAATAATATTTGCATGTGCCTGCACTCATACTCCGTAGTAGGGGAACATTTGAAAACATCTTTCCAGTACATTGCTTATTTTCATTCGGTATTAAATTCCTAGATTTTCGTTTTTCATTAGTTGTTGCTTTTGGAGTTTTTCATCTTTCATTCATTTGGGAAGGAATTAATTTACTTCTTTGTGTCACTCTGTTACAACATGTCAGACCAGCGTAAAGATTCCAAAGTAGGGTTTTTGGCGATTAATATCGTTTAAAAATTATTTTGTTTTTTGCCAGCTCATTTTTAAGCTATTTTATACCTTTTTTGCAAAATGTTGTTTATTTAAAAAAAAAACAATATAATTTGTTGATTTTTTTCATTCTTCAGAAGAAAATTTTCATTAAAAAATTTAAAAAAATACAAAAAGTTTCAACATAAGCTCTAGCAAAAATCTTTTTTTTTTACAAAACTTTTATCTATAAAATATAATTGCTATTTATGAGAATATGTAAAAATTTTGCGTTCATTGCATTACGTATTATGTTGACTCAATGTACGCTGTATGATTTATTAGTTTAGTATAGATAAAAAAAACTCTGTGTATGTGTGTTTGTGTGTCACACTTTGTGTGTGTGTGTGTGTCACACTTTGTGTGTGTGTGTGTGTGTGTGTGTGTGTGGTTAGTATGTATGATTTTTTAATACAATAGTTATAACTCAACGTTCACCTAGCTAAGCATCCACGTACGTGATGGAAATTTTTTTCACAGGTTGCGATGAAATAAAATATTTATAAAAATCGATTTCTCATCTTAACGTCATTCACAATAATCGTATTATTTTGTACTTTGCGTGCCAGTTTTCAACGTATTAACGTATAATTTAGTGTTGTTTTCACACACACCACACACACACATACTCACACATACACACACACACAAACGCACACACAAACGCACACACAAACACACACTCAAGCATAAACATATACATTATATAAACTATTTTGTTTATTTATTTTTTAAATACGACCTCTTCGGCTAAACTAGCTCATTATGTAATGTTGTTATGATTATAAATTCATGCAGCTTAGAGACATGTTTTATTTTAAAGGTACAAAGGGTATACTTTCTTGTTTGAGTTGAACGATGTCTCATCATCCATCTTTCTTCTTTATTAAACTTTCAAATGAGAACTCTATTAATTTTGTGTAATTTTCATTATAAATTTTATTTGTTTACAATTTTATTTCAAATTTTCAGAAAAATTGCCTTTAAAATAATGTTAACGTTCATAAAATTTATTGTTTAAACGAAATGTATGAATAACTGATGCAACGAACAACGTCCTTCCAAACAAAAATCTCTCTCTACTTAGTACCATTAGCCTTTCTTACAATGATAACAACCATTGTTTTTTAGAATTTTTGTTTAAGTTAATATATTTTTATTTAACGACCGCTTTTATATCATTATTTTATCGATATATTGTAACCTATCTCTTCCTTACTTCACTTAATGTTTTATATTCTTTAAAGCAATTCAACTAAAAACAGAAAGAAAATCATGTTGATTAAAATTACGAATTAAATTTCCAAATGATAAATCATAACAAATAAATTAACGTAATTTAACCGTAAAAAGGTACAATGCGAAAGAATCATCATCCAAATATTTTCAATTTCAAATATTTCAATTTTAAATTAAGTACATTTTCAAATTTTGCCTGAGGCCATCCGTTATACAGGAGCGTTACTGTCGTTGTCTTCTATGAAACTTCGATAATTAATTTGTTTCGTGAAAAATTTTACATTTCCGTACACTATGTAGATTCGTAGATTTTTGAAAGAAAAATTAGATAGAATGGGTTGCTGTATATCCATTTCATTTTATTTAATTACGTTCTTTCATGCGAGGTCTTCTTGCTATTAGAAATTCCGTCCATTTTTTCGAAATTTGTTCTTCACCGGAAGAGTTTTTAAGAATCAAATTTTATAATCGCACACCTCACCCGCTAATTAATTCTTCAGCTCCTCTCCATCCTGAGTCAGTGCGCGTCCAGTAAATCTATGACAAACATAAAAAAATCATTCTAAACGAATTTTCTATTCGAAATACATTTCTCCAAACAATAACGCCAAAAAAATTACCTTATGAAAAATTTTAATTATTATTAAAATTATATTACATATTATTATTGTCATTAATTATAGAATATAGACAGAATATATAATATAATATTACCACGATGAAAAAAGCGCGATCAATTTTAAGCCCTGATGCATTTGGACATAAAACCAAACGCTTAATTACTCCGCCATGCAATAAATCATCCGCATGTATGTATCTCTCCATGTAAACACTGGCTCTACCACCACGTACACACACTCACACACACACACACACTCACACACACACAATCTACGGCAAAATTTAGTATATATTATATATATATATATTTGTCAGCTACTATACTTGTAAATTTATTGTTGATAATCTTCAATCTTTTTTAAATCTTTTTAATGTACCTACACGTGTATTTATAACTTTTGGTGTGTATGTACATATTTATGTAAGTACATATGTTTGTATGTATTCGTAATGTATGTACAAACGTTTGTATGTGTGATGTTTGTTTGTTTGTATGTATGTGTAAGTATGTATGTATACGCATGTTTGTATATGTATGTATGTATATGTATTAAATGTGTATATGTGTACGTACTTATTTAAACCTTGACCATCTCCATTTCAATTTCACAGGCTGACCAATCGTCACCCACCTCAGAAAGCCATGTCATCGTCTGCCCCACAATAGGGCCTGTTAAAGTTCACGTAGAGGTAGGTAGTTATGTGGTTGAGTGTAGTTATGTGGTTGAGTGTAGTTATGTGGTTGAGTGTAGTTATGTGATGGAATTAAATTGTAGTTGTTCTTACTGGTGTTGTTTTTATGGTGGTGTTATTGGCGTTGTACATATTACCTTATATTAAATTGTTATTATGAATATGATATAATTGAAAAAAAGTTGAAAATGATAATAACTTATGAACACTCAGGGTTTTTCTTTATTTTCTAAGCAAAATTTGGAAACTGATCGTGCCAGCCCAAATCCTGTCCCCTCCAAAAAAAAAACAAATCACTCACTATTAAAGAAATATTTATATGATGAAAATAATAATATATTTACAATATTGATATCTAAGTGTACGACTATTTTCATCCATCTAAAATAAAATTTCTGAAATGCAATAAAGTTTTTTTATTGGAGATGAAAAAAGAACAAACCAACAGAGGGAATTATAACGAGATATAACGAGATATAACGAGATATTTGGTATTTGGTAAGATTTAAATATAACAACTTCAGGAACATGACATAATAGGTTTGACATGATATAGCGATTGCATTTGGAAACACGTACGGAAATATGTACACTTATTTGTGTGTACGTTTGTCTTAGTGTATATTTGTATGTACTACAAGGAGGAATGTACATTAATTGTTACTGGGTAGGTGCTGACACAAGTTTAAATGATATCGTCTGGTTAAACTGTTCTTTTTTCGTAGCTACGGTAAATAAGTATTATCCTTTTACAGAAGGTTTGCACAATTTTTTGAGATTTTTTGAAGTTTTTAAAAGTTTTTTTTGTATAATTAGTTACAACAAATGCGCTCCAGAAAATGAAACAACTGCAGTTGAAACAACACAGCGTTGTTGCCACTGTTGATTTCACAACTCGTTTATTTATCAAACCAGTAAAGATTTGGCTGTTTGACCGTCATTAATCATCATTAATCATCATTAATTTGTAATTTGTAGGTAGTTTGAAAATATTTTTGGACATGTTAGTTTCATTTCATCAAACTTGATGTTAATTCATTAAGTCGAGTTGTTGAGTCATTAAGTTTGAAAACCTGCACAGTGCAATGAACCCCAACCTAAAGTATTTAGGTACTACGCATAGTTTGACTTGGCCATACTGTATAACCTAGTAGAAAAAAATCTGATTTGGATGAAAAAGAAAATAGAAGAGAAGTAGGAAGGATCAAAATATTTTTATTTATCTGTTTTATAGATCGTCGTAATTGTAGCTAGCTGCTGTTCGCCTAGCGACATCGATCATGTCTCACGCATTAATTTTAATAACGCTGAGACCATTGTATATATACAGTTGCAGAGAGTATATATACTGTTGCAAAGAGTATCTATACGGTTGCAGAAAGTATTATACTGTTGTGAAGAGTATTTATACAGTTGCAGGGAGTATATATACGGTTGCAGAGAATATCCATACTGTTGCATAAAGTGTCTATACTGTTGCAGAGACCAAAGGTATCCTTGTCGGTATCTGTTGCAACCATCACCATTGTCTCTATTATCATTGGTATTATTAATATCTGTTGCTGTTGTATCATGATCATGTTAATCATTATCAATGGCACTGACATCATCACCATCAACCTAATCGTCGTCGTCATCATCATCGTCATCATCATCGATATCGTCATCATCATCATCATCGTCGTCGTCATCATCACCACCATCTGTTGTCTTTAATGAGAGCCAGTCACATTTATGTTTAAATTTCAATAAGTGCATTTATCATCATCATCATCATCGTCGCCAATCATCATCATCATCATCGTCAATCATCATCATCATCATCAGCATCGTCAATCAATCATCATCATCATCGACATCACCACCACCATTCTCGTCATTCATTTATATGCATGTTTCTCAATGATAAACTTGAATTGCTTGCTCGATTATGATGATGAAATGACTGTAATGAAATAACATAGCTCACGATGGTGATAATATTGATGATGATGATGATGAAGACGACGACGATGATGTTGTTGATGATGATGATGGTGGTAGGAGGCTATGCGTACGTATATATAGCTTTTGTTTTTATTACCACAAAGCCGTTTCATTCATTTATGAATATTTATGACGAAGAGTAGGTAGGGGTTGGTAATCTATTTATAAACACAATGATGATGGTGAAGATGATGACGACGACGCTGACGTTTGATGGCGGTGGGTGAGAATGATGCAATGAGGTTTTTTACTTGTGTTTTTAGTCTTGCAAAGTTTGGAGATGATGGTTACGTGATGATGATGGGATGATGAAAGTGACGATGATAAAAGTGGTGGTGATGGGATGAGTGTAGCTCTGACGTGAACAACAACTAACTAACCAAATTAATCATCATCACCCTTCAACGTTCTCACAATGTCACGAAGATTTTTTTAAACATTACCTTGGAGATGATGACTATGATGATGATGAGGAGGAGTTAATGAGTGTTGTGAAGGGGTGCACTGATGATAATAATGATGATAGTTTTAACGATGATGATGACGACGATGATGACGACGAGGCTGATGATGAGGATGATGATGACTAAGATGATGACTAAGATGATAGCTGCAATAATATTTTGAAAGTGATGCTTATGACTATAAGAGTGATTAAGAAGAGGAAGAAGATGATGATGACGGCTACAACGATGACGACAATTTGTTCCTATATATAACTTAACACTGTAAAGTGAAATGGCATTGAGTTAACATCACAACACGCATGCTAACTAATGTATGCAAATTTATGTTAATGTATGTATGTTAATGTATGTATGTTAATGTATGTTTGTTAAGGTATGTATGTTAATGTATGTATGTTAATGTATGTATAATAATGCGTGATGCATTGTTTTGTTTTTTGGTTAAATGCCTTTCATTGGTTCGCTCGTTGTACTGTTAATACCTGCAAAATATAACTTCTTTGTCTAATTATATATATATATATACATACATTTATATATTTATTATATAAATATATATATATATATATGTATATATTATCTAAGTACAACAAATTTGTTATACATTATTCATATCAGATGAGAAACATGAATATCTAACATTCATCATATTTACTAAACTTTGAGAAGATAAATTGTGCTGTTTGGTCTGGCATATTGAATACATTATTATGGAAGCTCCTCATATTAACTACAATTGAGCACACGCACACAAATACACACACACATACACACACACACACACACATAAACACACACATATTCACACATATTCACACTCATAAACACACACTCGCACATATCCACGTACATAAACACACTTTATAGATAGGAACATGTGAACACACGAATGCTGAATGTTGATTAGACTTTACATCCACAGAAACATCCAAACTTCTATTTGCACTCCCCTCCCACACACACACACGCACGCACACACTCACACACGCACACACACGCACACACACGCACACACACACGCACACACACAGTGCAGACTCACAAATTATTTCCACACACACTCACACACGTTTACAAGTGCTTTCACGTGAGGCACATGCTCAAGACAAATGATGATTTGCAATAAAAAAAAAGAAAAATACAAAAATACAAAAAAAAGAAAAAGTACATGAAAGGAAGAAAGATTAACTACAATTATCGAAAAAATTTCACTTCAAATTTTTAAAATGATTTTTAAACGAAATTGTGGATGAAATGAAGGAGATAGGTGAGAAAGAGAAGTACTAATTGGAACGAGCACCTGAACATTTGTAATAAAGGTAAATAAATGGAGATGATGATGATGAAGAAGATGATGATAATGAGAATGATGATGACACTGATGATGATGTTGTTGATGGTGATAATGATGAAGATGATTACAGCAGTGATGACGACGATGATGAAATGAAAATGTTGATGGATATGATGATAAATGTATAATATCCATTCATAGGCTTGTTTTTCAGATCATTATTTTGATTGCACTGTAATTTGCCTTTTAATCTGACGACTGTTCAGCTGGCCCCGATGATTTAACGTTGTTGTTGTTGTTGTGTGTGTGTGTGTGTGTGTGTGTGTGTGTGTGTGTGTGTGTGTGTGTGTGTGTGTGTGTGTGTGTGTGTGTTCCTTGCTTCATTTCGAACTGCTGGCTGGCTGGCTTATTATTGATTCATTTTTATTCTTATAATTATTTTTTTATATTTCTTTCTTTTATTATTTTATTTTCAATTTCTATTTGTTTTTCAAATTTTTTTTATCTCTTTTTCAGCCAGTGTAAGTTTGTTTGAGAGCTGTTAAAATAAAATGGCGAACGGTTGAGTTGATTGCCAAGCAGATGCTAAACGTTTGGTGATGATGATGATGATGATAATGACGATTATGATGATGACGATTATGATGATGATAATGATGATGACGAGAATGATGATGATGAGGACGATTATGATGATGATGATGCTGATGATGATGATGACGATTTTAATTATGATGACGATTATAATTATGATGATGACGATTATGATGATGATGATAATGACGACGATGATGATGATGATGATGACGATTATGATGATGATAATGATGATGATGACGATTATGATGATGATAATGATGATGATGATGATGGTTTGTTTTAAAAGCGTGTCAGTTCTATATAACTAGATCTAATCTCTATTTGGTTATTTATATAATTTGTAGAACAAAATTTTTTAATTTATTTTTGTGTGAATTATTTTTACTTTCTAGAAATAATTTATTTATAGATAATTCATTTAATATTTCAGTTATTTAACACAGACACACAAAACAACCGCGGATATTATTTACGTCCGCGCTATAAAATTGCATTCGGAAATGATTGTTCGTGGAGTGGAGGAAGAATGGATGTTTAAAAACGAGTGGATGAATAAAAATGACTGAATGATTGAAAATAAACATCGCCAGCATCATTACGTCATTGTTCATAGACGAAGCATGCGATTGGTAGACATCAAATTGTCTATAACATGTGTCTAATGTCTCGATATAGAGATACATCGAGACACTAGACAGTCTAGCACCCACAACACTACACACAGCAGACGACCGAATTCTCAACAATGGTAAAGGCAGCTGCACTTATTGAACTTTCAAATGTGGATAACATCAGTCATCATCCAACACCGCCATTTCTATGTTTATCTATTTATTTCCACTCTAAATGCTATAAAAATTCACAGACAAATTCACAAACAATATCACAGACAAATTCACAGACAAACTCACAGACCAACTCACAGACCAATTCACAGACCAATTCACAGACCAATTCACAGACAAATTTTCAGACAAATATCATTTACATTTATATTTTTTAATTCTACATTCACATTTCTAATCCTTGCCCTTCAATTTTTCCCAGCTTTGTTCACATTTTAAAAGTAACGTAAGACCTAACAAACTTCATTGGAATTAGGAAAAAAGGCAGAAACTTCAGAAGTCTTTGATCTGTTTTCATTATGTTGGTTTAATTTCTCGCTAATCTTTGGTCTTAAATAAATAATGGCTTCAGTTGTTTACTATTACAATAGTTTAAATGGTTCTACTTAGCTCATGTGAGGTATGATTAGGTTGTTATATGTCGGTGGATGAAATTGTGTGTATTTGAACGTGATTCTGTGTGTGTGTATTTGTGTGTGTGTGAATGTGTGTTTAGATCTGAGTGTTGATGTGAGTTCATGTGCTATTGTTTAACACAACAATGAAAAATCTAAAAAGTAATACAATTCACGTTGTTCGTACATAAAAGTTAAAAAAAATTGTCATTTGCCATTGACAATAAATAATAAATTGGAGCTAGTATAAGTTACATAGTCTGTTAATACCCACACAAACACGCACTTTAAAAAATGTACATACACGTGCGTGGAGTATAAACAGAGCGATCACATGTTAACGAACATAACACGCAACATAAACAAAATATAACGCAACAGAGCACAACACAGCGTAAAACAAAATAAGACTTGTTGAGTGGATTGTCTGTCACCACTGCAATCTCTTTCCTGTATGAAGTATGGACCGATGAACATCAAGCTCATGGAAAACACTCGGGATGATGATGACGAAGAAGATGATGATTATATGATAATGATGATAATAACAATAATAATAATAATAATAACAACAACAACAACAATAATAATAATAATAATATCATTTGTGCATCGTCCTATGCATAACGTCAGAGGCGCCCGGACAAACAAACGTCAGCACGGCCAGCCAAGGCATGTTCTAACAGATGCTGTTTCAATCGCTTCTCAAACATTTATATTGATGTTTGTTGACGGATGGTGATTGGCAAACTGTTCCATATTGATGGTGATGAAGAGTATATGATGATGATGTTAGTGGTGGTGGTGATGATGATGGTGGTGGTGGTGATGATGATGACGCTGCTTTTACATGTTTGCGTTGTCTGCATACCAATTGATTAATTGTTTGTTGTCGTTGTTTTAGAGTCGATTATGTATTGTTGTTCGTATTGTTGTTGTTGTTGTTGTTTGTAGTGTTATTGATGTTTTTGATGATGTTTTTGTCGTTGAGGTCTTGCTGTTGTTGTTTTTGTTATTGCTGTTGTTATTAATGTTGTTGCCGTCAATAAACGTGGTAGAATTGATTGCCATCTTCCTACTCATCACCATAAAACTGGCTGAATCAATGCAATGCACCGCAAACAACAATCACTGCAACAACAAAAACAACAACCACAACCTCCCAACTAATAGTAATAATATTAACAATTGCCATAATCTGATAATAATGAATGCCATTATTATATTCAATATGTATTTAGCTATCATCATCAATGTCATTTTTCATTCGTTTATATCTGTGCAGTTGTTTGAATGAGAGAGAGAGAGAGAGAGAGAGAAAGAGAGAGAGAAAGAGAGAAAGAGAGAGAGAGAAAGAGAAGGAGATAGAGAGGAGAGAAATATACTGAATGTTTTACGTAAACTTAAATATTCATACGTTTGAACGTTTATATGTTCTTATAAAAACGTGTTCATAAATTTATTTTTATAATTTTATATGTTCACATATGGCAAAAAGGCATTTTATTTTGTATGTTCGTATCATATGTTCGTACATTTTTAGGCTTTGTTGTTTTTTCCCAAATGGAGTTTTCTGGTTTAAGTTTTAATGTGATTTTTTGTGTGCGTCGGACTTTTGCATTAATGTTGTGATTTAGTATGTAGTACAATGTGATGGTTTGGTTTGCTGTTTTAATTTTTGTTTGTATGTTTTTATTCGTATGTTTTTCTGTGTATGTTATTACTTGTATGTTATTGTGTGTGTGTTATTACTTGAGTGTTTTTGTTTGTATGTTTTTACTTGTATGTTTTTGTTTGTATGTATTTATTTGTATGTTTATTGTTGGTATGTTTAGTTTTGGTGTTTTTGTTCTGGAGTGTTTTTGGAATGTTTTTTTGCATGTTTTCCTTTGTTCTTTTACATGTTTGTATGTTTTTGCACGTGTCCGTGTGTATGTTATTTTATTATTTTTTGTATAATTTTCTATCGACGTTTGT